CCTGATAGACGGAAAGAGATTTTCAGAAGAACCAGTTTGAATAAAATCGATCATTTAAAACAATTCTATGAACATGACTATGATGCTTCAAGTAGCAACACACCGATAAGCTTAATCAGAAATTGACACGAGACGCTAGCTGTGCACTTGCTTAGCATCGGATCGCCCCACTAAGTCTGCGAAATACCCTTGTGGTTTGCCCGTGAGGAATGCATTCGCTGCATCTCAACGACAACAACTCCAATGACATCGCGATTCAGATGAAGTACACAGACGTGCTTCCATTTTGCATCTAATTTCTGTTGAAGGAATTTCCGACTTCATAAAGAATATTCCAGTAGTTTGCGAAAAGCATACGAAACGAGCCCCGAATACAGTGCGCAGCGAGCGATTTAAATGCCAAAGCAGAACCTCACAAACTGTTCAACTCGTTTCAGCGCAACATACACACTCATTACATAGAGCACATATGAATACTCACAGCATTTGAAAGAAAAAGCTGTCGGTAAAATTTGCTAAAGATCGAGCTACACCTTTCACTTGTTTCAACCAGGAAGAATTTTAAAAACGGCAATACCACTGTTTGAGATCAGCGCTTCAGAAAATAACCAAGAACGTAGACGGGCCCTCCTGCAATTTTTCTTTGGCGGGTGCTCCATTGATTACCATCACCATGACAAAGGCGAAAGGTGGTAAACGAAGATATTAACACATTACGTACCGCGTGCGCCACCATGTGGCGCACGATTTCGCACGAAACAGCATAGTTTAATCTGATTTATTTGACATTTTTCAATGCTCCTGAACTGTTGCACTCATTTTCAGAGCCGGGAAACCATACGTGTCATCACTGATAAAATTGTTGATAGATTAATGATGATACATTTTTGAAAAATATAAAAAAGACACGAAGGTACTCATACAACGGCGGTCCGCAATGTGTTAAATTGCATCTCTTTTTTTTATCAGTTCGTGACAGGAAAAAAACAGACTTCCCTCCTGGTCATTCTTCTCAAGAATGAAATTCGATAAGACTTCTACTGCGAATACTTAGTTCCATGTCGAAATGCTAAGACGTTTTTTTTTCCATAAGCGTAGCCTTCCTCCAAAGCCAGAAAAATAACAAGGAACTTTAGACTACTACTTCAAGTATTTCAGTAGTTCCCGGGAAGCACATGAAACGAGCCTTGAACGCACTGAGCGATATTTATGCAAAAGCAAGACCTTACAAACTATCCAGCTCGTTCCAGCACAACACATGCACCCAAGGAGGTTTAGTGTTGAACAGAATTCCGAGCGAAGGAAAACCGTGTCTCTCATTATGGATAACGAAGGTGCAAAACGTTTAGGTAATAGACACTCCGAAGTGGAACCAAAACTAAAAGATAACGCATATACAACAAATATCTCATGAGCCTATGAATGAAGTACTCATCGTTGGAGCGCTACGCGGATTATACATACATCACTAGGGTCATTAATCAACTGACAACGACGAAAAGCCGATATTTGTGGGACTAATCAAGACTACGTCCACGACTTGTTAACACATATTCACACGGCACCTAATCAACTGTTTGCGCAAAAAGCTCGCACTTTCGAATGACCAAACTTAATAATTTCAGCAACATAAGATAGAACGTCTCATGCTTGCTAGCCATTTGTCGCAAATGCCCCATAAGATTAAGACATATGCACTGGAATTCGAATTTACAGAAGCGATGTCAGAAGCAGACTTGCAAAAAAAAGCCGACGCCCCTCGATGGGAACTGGAAATCCGGTCTCAATGATCCTATGGGTGAGAGCACTGGAACAATAGAGTGAATGCAAATTTTTTTTATGATATGCAGGTCCTCTAGCAGTGGTACAAACAACTTGCGGCTGTTTTCTATACCTCTCTAAATCTCTTATCTAAACTGTCCTTCATTTGCATATTGAACTGTGGTTCTCCTAGAACAGCGTAGGCCTTTGATGAGTTCTCCTGACTCATCAACCAAGTTCTCCGTCAATGAAATTTCGTGCAACGAATTCTCGAGTGCTTGACCAATTTGTGAGATTTGAACTCACAGAGAGGGGACCACGTGTTTCAATTTGCCCTTTCAATTCTGTCATCACCTTTGGGCACGATTGCATTACTGGAACCTCAGTAGGGGCAAGTTGGGTCAAAAAAATTCGCTGAAGCTTCCCTTAGGAGGTTATCGAGGGTCCTGATCACGAATATGACATCCGTTCTTGGCACTGGCGCCAAAATAGGCGCCACGACTGATTCTCATCGAAATTCGCTGTAAACTTGTGCATAGGGGTTATTTGGGGTCCTGATTACGAATATGACATTTTTTTTGTCGTTGCGCTATTCGGCGCCTATTTTCCTGCTCGTCTGCGCCCTCTCACCGATTAGTTCGCAATCAGGACTAAGTGTTTGAAGAAGGTAGGGCTCCTCTCCACCTTAAGCCACATGGTGCGTGGTTAACAACGCCAGAGTTTCATCTCTCTTTCCTGAGCTTAGTTTCAGGCGCTCTAGGTGAGAGAGCTCAGAAAGCAGAAAATATGCGTTAAACAGCGCGAATGCAAAAACGAATGTCATATTCGTAATCAGGGCCCCAAATAACCCCTATACAGAAGTTTACAGCGAATTTGGTGAAAACAGTGTGGCGCCAGCCCAAATGGCGCCAATTTGGCGCCAGCGCCAAAAATGGATGTCATATTCGTGATCAGGACCCTCGATAACCCCCATAGCAGAAGTTTCAGCGAATACTTTTTTGACCCATCTCGCCTCTATGTCGTGATAATGCTATAGCGCCCACCAGGGTGAATATCGCTTGAGGATTCCTCAACGGCACGTCGAGGATTCTCTGCCCGATCAGAGACGATCTCTCGCGCGGACATTCACACTCGCCATGCCGTGCCGTCTGTGCTCCCGCGCGGATGTTCACTCTCGGCACTACTCTCGCATGGTAGAGAGCTATGGTCGAGGATTTCCTCGACCGTTATTCACCCTGGCGCCCACACTTGCAGTGAGAAGCTGTACCGCAAACATAGCCTAGCCATAGGGGATTCGACCTAGACGCGCTCTACTCGACAAATTATATTTTAATAACAATAAAATATCCGCAAAAATAAAAGAACAGAACGAGCAAATCAAAGCCATCAGTGGGCAATACATTTAAATGAACATAACTGCAAAAAATATCAAGATACAAATAAATACAGCTAGAGCGTTACTGACTTAAAAAGGCCTATTCAACCGCAAGCCGAAGAAAAGCTATGGCCGATTATAATCAACTACTAGAAACATTTGAGAGGAGCGGTACTTTTACGGCGGGAACCTGAACGCTGAGGCTTAGCAGAATGTTCGATGTACATAAGCTCGGAGCTTCACGAATGCGACTCCTAATCCCACGCTTCATTCGAACGCCAAAACAACTAAATCCACGCCGACATGCCAACGGCAGTATGACACAACCACTAGGCAAGGCATCGAGAGCGCACACTAAGCAATCATGTGGACATGAGTGTATGCTATTCGACTTCAGGCACAAAACAGTCAAATTTGTATCGGTGTGATATCAGCTCGGCCCACAATCTCTGGGCCACTTCTAATGCCATGAAAATTTTCAGAAAAACCTTGAATGCTGGAAACATGAATTGAGCTGTAGTATTCACTTTGGCCTAATTGAATAGACTAGTTGGCTCAACATGCCAGTTTGAGCCCAAAATCTCAATTTTAGTAGCTATATTTGAGCCTCATTTTCACTAATATATATATTACAATGCGTATACAAAAGTATTGGGTTGGAGCATAATATCGTAGCGCTTGCATTTTTCATTTCTTCACACAAACATTTGAAGCAAAAAATAAAAACATAAAATTACTCAGTGACCTTCACTTCGTCATTATTTACAACTCCGATTGCATTTCGCAAGAGATCACCGGATATAGAATTTGAAAAATATATAGCTAGTTTTCGGAGTCCTTACTATTCTCAATTTGTGCGAGATTGAAATGGTTTTGATTTGAGCGAAAAAAGGCAGATTCGGTTAAAGCGAGGTTCGATTAGAGCAATGAATTTTTTCGGAACTTCCAATTTGGCATTTTTTCTTCTTTATTTAGATCTTAGAATAGCAGCTGTCGAAACACAGATTTTCGCCGTCCGAATTTTCCAACTTCCAAGCTCTATACCTGAAGTTCAGCTCCAATTTTGAAGAACATGACAACTACGATTTTGTAGAGCGGGAAAAGTACTTTCAAATAATATGGGCCGCTTTTCGGTTAATACTTGTACTGAATTAATTCGTTCTATTTTGATCAATTATTTTGATGGAATTTTTTTGGCCTGGAACAAAATCATATCAGCGCTGCAAGGTGAATTAGTTTTTTTGCGTTCTATCTTCACAACTAATTTTACCCTCCCCTTGATTACTTATTCGCCGTTATGCCTCTGCGATAAATATATTCCTAAAGAAGAACAAGCACAGATCAGGGGCTGTCATGGTTACAGAACCCTCACATAGAGATCTCGCAAATGATCGCGGTCGTGTGTGTGTTGGAAAATAGATCTAGAATTTTGATGCTTACCTCTCAACTAGATTGAAGCCCATATTTTTATTAATTATCTACTTAAAACATTTGAAAAAAAACAACCTGCATGGTCTCAAAATTTCTTTGCCTGCCCGTCAAGTTCGTGCTAGAAAGGCATTCCCAGTCAAAAATGTTCCATTCAATCGAATGAGCCCACGACACGAGAGAAGAAATCCTGGTGTATGGATGCGGAGCACAGGGTTGGGAGTTCCAAAAAAACACATCATCGTCAAATCTCGTTCCATTCAATGTGCATAGTATCAAATCAACCTTACTGTCAATACGGTTACTTATATATCAGACCTAAGGTTTTCTCTGGGCACACTTTTGCAGTGTGAATTAAAGGCACGCTCCGCGATCAGGCGGCTCGCCTGTTCCATCCAGGGGGTAGTAGGCAGGTGGACAAGTGTTGATGTCGGGCCCCTTTTGCGGCTTGAAAGTACGCGACAAAGGCGCAAGGAGCTCGTCCAACCCGCAACTCACACCTTCGTCCGCAAGCCCCACCCTTCGCTGTCGGTTGCCACGTGGCGCTGCTTGAAAAGCGCGGGCGCATTTGAGGCAGTGGTCCCAGCGCGATCCAATGTTATTGACACTGGAGCAAGTAGAGTTAGGTTCGTGAAACTCGTCCAATTCGCCTTCTCTCTATCCCAAGGTGGAATGTGGCTGAAATAGGGGAGGTCTCTGTACGGGGCGTAATCGGTGGTTTCGTTTGCTTTCCTTCTCTTTTACAGACCACCTCCCACCTATAGCTTCATAACTGAACGCTTTTCCACACCTATTTTATCCCGAATCTTGCCTTAAATAAAGAATAAATCATGGACGAAGTTATACGATGACAAGACACTGTGTGGGTATTCCTTTCTTAGATAACCTTCACTAGCAAGTAGAAGTTAAGCTATGTTTCTTTGGGTAAGTTTCGCCGCTGTTGGAAAGATCTTTGCCGCATCCCAGAAAGGTACTCGAAGAAAAATTTCGGAGGATCATTAATGGTGTGGGTTGACCTGAGAACAGGAAAATTTGAGCTCGGCTTCTCAACACGCAAGTGGAGAATAAAGATTACATTCAGGCGCTTGATTCCTGCAGCTTCATTCAAGAAGCCGCGTCGCAAAGCACTCATTTTGCAACACGCCCAATCGGACGCCTGAAACCCTTGTTCTATTTGGAAGTGCTAAACGCGAGGATTTCGGGTGAACAACTCACTAGCGTAGTCATGGGATCATGGTTTGCCGTCTCGACGCCATAGAACCAAAGAATACTATCACAGGTGACCTAACACCTTGACGAAATTGGTTGGATGGGAGCAGATTGTAGAAGGAAGTCTCAGAAGCCTGGTTCAGAGCCTTAAAATACCAGGAGCATCGATAGGCCTATCGCTTTCTGATTCTTAGAATATTTCCGTTTTTTGAAAAGTGTACACACACTTTGCTACAGGTTACAGAGGAAAAAAACTAAAGCTGTGTATAAATTGGTCAGAAATGGAAGTTTCTGAAAGTTTCGTACATGAGAAATTGAATGGTGGCGATTTCATAAAGATAGTCAAAGGTATATCATGGAACAAAAATTTTGAAAAGTCCACATACTCTTGTCACACCTCGAAAGTCTTCCAAAGGCCATGCCAAGCTTCCATCACACGATGAGTATGGTCAAACACTCTCAAAGCACGATGGACAACTGTTACATTCTACTCGGGGTTGGCTTTTCTTATCAGAAGAACTCACACATTGGATACTCTCAGTATTAAGACTATGTGACGCTCTTGAGAAGGAATCCGAACAAATTAGCCGTCGTTTGGCAGAACACGACATAACATGCATGATGTGACAAGATGATTACACTGAGACAATTCTACAAGACCCGAGACATTTGAAGAAGTTGTGCTTGAAGTCCACATGCGTTGAGGCCGCCCCGATCACAACGCGATCCCACTTCCCCATGTTTCTTTTGGTTTCCCATCATTCCATCGATTGGCTATCTCGCATGGTCACTGGTGATTAGAAGTGGTAGTGCGCGCTAAGTAATCCTAAATTTTCGCTAGAATACTGTAGGAGTTGTGCACTCAAACCTATCTGCCGATGCCGTTACTTGTGTATTACTTCGAAGTTATCGAAAAAATACAAAAAAAAATTCTAAAAACAGCCGGTTTGGCCCAAACATTATGAACCGACTTAATCGCAAGCTTTCAAAAAAACAACGTCTGTCTCGTATCTGCCGTCTCAACCACTGATTAGGATTCAATGTGGGGCTTCTAATGAAAGTATGTCCCCTTTCACAATTTCTAGAAATTACTCAATGGGAGTCCTTACACTGATTAGAACTGGTCCATCACGTCAGTGGAATGAGTATTCTTCACAACTGATCAGCTCAAGCGCTGTCTGTAGTCTGTCTACATGTGCGCTGCTTCAAAAAAGTTTTACAAAGTTGTCTGAGCTTCTTGAAGTAATTTTACCACTACACAGCAATTTAATACTAGTGAACTTAACAAACGTTGAAATAAGAATAGAGAATAGTGATACATACGGAGAGATAAAAGATATGAGCGCTTTAGTTTACATAGAAGTCATAGCTCCGTCAACCGGATTCAAGTTCCCGGAAAATGATTGTTGTCAATTGCTTTGGTTCCACTAGCTGCAGAATGAGAGGGCGCCGGGAGGTGGGGAGCAGGGTCAACCGTCCGTTCCTCACAATTCGAACGGGGGGGGGGGGGCAGTAGCATATTGATTATAAAGCTGGTGCATCGGGATCAAACAAAAAAACGAATAGTAGTGCTATGGAAGGGATGACTTCTCGAGACAGAAAACAAAAGTTTTACAGGATTCAAAATGTTTGAGGGAGCTTCTTCAACAGAATTTCAGAGTAAATTAGAAGAACGAAGTCCCGTATTGGAAGATGTGTTTTCACTGAAACAACCACGTCCGAATTAATTTTGGAACCACCAAAGGGAAATTAAGTAAAAGTAAATGTAAAAGTAAAAGTAAAAGTAAAAGTAAAAGTAAAAGTAAAAGTAAGTAAAGTAAAAGTATTAAGTAAAATCATTTTGGTCAGAACTTCCATTACTGTAACTCCTGATAAGCTAGACAGATCGAACATCATTGAAAACATTTCATCGCATCTAAGTATTGCGGATTTACAACTCAAAATCCATGGATTTGGTGTGCGGCGGCTGCGCTCGCAAAATCGCTCTTGTCCCACGCGGTGCAAAAGCACAAAATGACAACGAATTAGGGTAACTAAAATCTCAAAAACCCTTCTTCGCGAAAAAAGCTAACAAACGAATTTTTAGAAAAAGGAAACGAACAAAACTATCGATACTCTTCGAATAGAGAAATGTTTGAAGTTTATGAAGTTTTAACGACTCTTCGAAAAGTCAAATTCAAAAGATGTCGTGACCATTCAGAAGCGCCTTTTTGAAGAATTGAGCTTCCCGCTTCGTAACGGTGGCATTTTACGTCTTGTGAAAATATAATATAATATTAGTGGTTTTTTTTGGGAGCGGGCGTCACGCACATTCAAAATATACCTGAATAATTAGGAAGTGTGTGGTCAAGGAGGCTGTGTCCGTTTGAAATATTTGATATTTAATACCATGCCCCATTTTTTCACATATAGGGCGGAAGTGGTGTAGTGACAAGTGGCGCGCTTACCACGCGAGCGGTCCGGGATCAAATCCTGGGTCGTGAGTCGCCCGGGCCAACCAAGCCTTCCATCCCTCCGGGGTCGGTTAATTGGTACCAGACTTGTCTGGGAGGATAAAAACACTGACTTGTACATCGGCTGGCCCCCGCAAGTCATTGTATAGGCCACATCGCATTCAAACGCCACTACGAATGTACAAATGGAAGTAGAATGCGTGCCGCATCCCAAAAGGGATTGATCAACGGCAAATGCTTTATCCTTTATATCGCAGTATGAGGACAAATAATACTGAAATAGCAAAAGCTCGATGAATAGTTGTCACAATTTGAGCGAGAATTAGCAGCTGTACTGTGAAGTTTTTGGTAAAGACGAGAGGGTGTAACTTTGGGAAGCGTTGTAAAGCAATGCGTGAAGTTTTGAAAGTTTATCTATACAACTGGCAACCACGTGGCCCCTCAGCAGGTCACACTTTCGCACGGAAGAGACTCGTATTGCGATTTATTTGAAATTTTTCATATTTCAAAACTGCCGTGTATATTGTAATCCAGAAATTCTATCGTTACTAAAAACAGTGAAGTTATTGAAGCTTAACAGAAAGTGTAAGTATGCTCAGGTACACGCACAATGGCAACCGTCAATGGATAGAGGAGACTTGTGGAATACTCCTATAAAACAAACCCGAAATAAGGCTAAGAATGATAAGGACATTTCCTGGGCAACACCACACACGCCCCACTTTCAAACTGCACGTAATCTACTATTGGGAAGATGGGTGCCGAAAGCTTACAAGCAGACGGACTTGAGGAACCACTTGCAGAATTTTTCGATAAAAGTTAAAAGTCAGTTCACAATATATCACAATGCACGACAACAACATGAATAAGGATGATTCAAAGAATGACAAAGACTACAATTTGTAACTTTTGAAGAGGCAACCGGAATTCATAAGAAGGTGGAGTTCATGGCCCAAATATCAACAGACAATAGATTTTCAACGAAAACGATGAAGTAAGTGCTTCAAACAAACTGTAAGCAGGAAAAACTTCCATCAAAAATAAAAACTCCCACCGTTCCAGATACTGCTAAGTAACTCAAAAAAAAACCAAAATTACAATGATGCAGAGGGTTCCATATTCTACTATATTCTACATGTAAAAAGTAAAGCGCTGGGCAGTAGCATTTCATACATCTAAAAAAAGAGAGTAACTGCGCTCCTTCACCCAAGAATGAGCACAACCAGCCCTATAAGACGGAAAAGTTCCTATCTATACTCGTTCGATTTTTTGAAGGAAGAAACCGTTCATCTAGGCTATCTGCCTCTCTATTATGTTTGTAGGTTCATTTGATCTCAGAAATTGGGAGATGAGAAGGTAACTGTTATGCTATTGAGAAAGAAATAAGAAAATCTTATGGAGAGATACTCACGCAATGTCATTCCCAAAAACATCGAACCATCCTGCCGTTTCAGAGCTATCCGCAAAAGGCCCATTACGAACCTAAACAACGAAGATAGTCACGAAACAGCGCAAAGGAATGAAGATCCCAGGACGAGTGTCCGGGATAAGCTCAAAGCAACAAATTATACTTGAGTCCGTTACCATCTGGAAATTATGTGCAGTGTTCTACAAGAAATGGCGACAAGCTCAACAGCGAAGGTATATGGATGTGAAAAAAGTACGCCAAATATCGGACCATAAAGAGCAAACTACCAAAAATCAAGAATCATAGAACTGCATATATCTATAGCACCTCATTATTTACGTAACCCCCCCCCCCACTTAAAAGCCCTAAATTCAAAATTGCACCAAAGCTAGACGTTTTTCAACTGACAGCAACACTTGATCATGTGATCGATGAGATTAACCATGCAAACCAATGAGAAGCATACGGAGCGATCACGCACCATGATATACTGCTCAGGTAAAAAACCAGGTTTCAGCAGGGCAACTTGCTTATAAGAGTTTATGAGTAAGTGTCAGTCGGGGCAGTTTAATTCGCTTGGAATGACTGAGTCATGCCCGTATTTCAAAACAACATATAGGAAACAACACATGCGACTACAACGATCGGACGACCGATACTTATCCATTGCACATTCGAGATCCGACGACCAGTTTGAATAAGCTAAGGGCGTTCATAATCGGTCAGCTGATCGTAACGATAGCACAGCATTAGAAACTTATCGATCATCGGACTTGACGGATGGCCGACACGTACCTAATGCTGTGCGATCGTCACGAGTGGACGACCAACTATAAAAGCGTGCTACTGTAACCCTACAGAAAGTGGACATTCGCGTAGGGACAGAAAAAAGCAACGGCAGCACTAAAAAATATATAAAAGAGGATCAGGCTGCTTAGCATAGCTACAATGGTTGATGTCTTTCATGACATCAAATGCAAATAAATCATCAACAAATCTTACGTACCTGTTTATTAAGAGCCATCAGCTTCACACGATCATGGTATGACATTACCAAATCTCCTGATTTTTCCTTCTCTAAATTTGAAAAACTTCATCTCAATAAACAATACAGTTCAATCATAACAATGAATTTCTTCCGTGATACCCTCTCTAGTTCTGCTTCAATCGTAGTTAGTTAGACTGCCAATCAAGGGAAAAGAGAAGGGGGAATCGTTCACACAAGGTAGAATTTGGATCTACACAAGAACTATATCGTTATCGACATGTCACCCAAATAGGTCATCTGCATGTATTTGAAAATTGTCTGCAGCAGTCCAGAAGAAGTTGAACCTTACTTTTACTTTTTTTTAAACAAGGTCGTCAAACACTAAACGTAACGGACCAAGACTTCATTGCTTACTCCCGTTAATCACCTCGCCTCCTCACTAATTAGAAGGTAACGAGAGTATGCACTCTGACTCCAAAAGGAGCAGCAAAATTTCCACATAGCCTTTCTATTGCCTAAACAATGTTCAAAGATGAAACCTTTGAATTCACAAATGTATAACTTCTAACATTCCTCTTATATCGTTACCCGACCTAGCTCCGCGATTTGTTCAACAAATTGCAGAGACTGCGGGAATGTTGTAAGTCTCCCTCTGCAGAGGCCACGTAGGAGATTGCGGCCATCTAGCCGCACGCACTTCACACAGTTCTTGAACATATGCAAGTAATACCCAGGTCTCAATTATTCGTTAGGCCATTGACGTAATTGTAAACGAAATTTTGGCGGGGGTTTCTCAAGCCATGGCCAAATTTCAATTCAGCTCATTCCTCGGTTTCTTTCAATTATCATAAACGTACAGATTAAAAGAATAGTGGAAATGAATATCACACTACACGGCGGCGAAATACATTTTTCACTGAAGCAGCACATCGGAAGTAAGAGGTGCTCATCTAACGCAACAGGTCTTTGGTCAAATGTCTACTACTTTACTCCGCACGACTTTCAGTTCTTGAGCGAGTTGAAATTATTTTGAGCCATCCACGCTCTATGTAATTACCATTCAAACCTGCGTGGGGTGAGGCGGCCACGCTCGCAAATCGGTGGCAGCCCCACGAGGTCAAAAATAGTAAAACTAGCTAGTCATCGACATGTAAAATACAAGACCTGCAGGAGTGGAATGTGAGATGAAATGAAGCTTCCTACCACCACAATTCTTCATTCGTTTGGAGTTGCGCCCCAAATCGTGAAGAAAGTGGGAGGGCCGGGGTGGACTTGGGGTTTCCACAGCAAAAGAAGCTTCGCGCTGCGGAAAGCGATAAGATTGCTTGCTGTCCTAGCAATTCACACCCTAAGTGTAGCATGGCTATTACATGCGACTACTAAATCACAAAAGAAAAACGTTCAGGTCAAATACTTGCAACATCGACCGCTATTTCAGCTATGGGCACTATTGTACTATTACAACCCAGTGAGGCTGAGAAGAGTCATAAAAATTTTCGCTGAAACTTCTCCCATGGTGGTTATCGAGGCTCCTGACCTACCATTTGGCGCCACAGCTGTTTTCACCAAATCCACTGTAAACTTATTTGGGACTCATTTGAGGTCTTGATCACGAATGCAACATTAATTTTCTGCGTTTCTGGGCTCCCTTACAGCAACTTAGAATAAGCTGAGTGGATGGAGCTGAGACCCCGGAGTGGGTATACCACGCACGGTGTGGCAGAAGTTAAGGTGTATGGTATCATAGAGTGAATGGCTTATTCACATGAAAGATTTCTCCAAGAGCTTAGTGCTGATCGCAAACTATAATAATTAGTGAGACAGCGCAGATTTGCAGGAAATAGGCACCGAATAGCGCCAACTAAAAACAGGCTTTATTCGTTATCAGGGCACTAGTCAGAATCAGGTCGGCGCCAGCGCCAAAAATGGACATCATATTCGCGATTAGGACCCTCGACAACCCCCGTAGGAACGTTTCAGCAGAAAAATTGACCCATCTCACCTCTACTGGGCGTCGGAATAGTGCAATAGTGCCCAACTATGAATGTGTGAATAACTGCAACCATGTAAACAAAAGTCTGACCTTTATAGAACCTCACAGCTAGTTTATAACACTCCTCCAGCGGGGCACCGAATTCGTTATGTATTAGCTGAGTTTCTGACAGTTTAACATGATTGTTATTGGCCGCCTCAGCCACCAAGTCGTCGTTCATAATGACTGAAAATAATTGGATTTAAAGCAAAGGAACCGTATGACAATCATTTGGCGAAGAAAGAAAACCACTAGTAACTGTAATACATTGTAAAGATGGACCACCTCTTAAAGGGACGACTCTCCGATCCAACTCATGAATACCGTATCAGTAATTGGCCGTGGAGCGCGAAAACCTCCCTCTGTATATACACCGCGAGGATATAGACACCTAGAAATCGTTCAAAATCACGTATTTCTCAAAGTTTCTGACTAATGACCAAAGGGGAAGTGGCAAATTTGATCGCGAATTAGAAAATCAATAGAACTTCAATTTGAAAATGCCGACAAATTTTATTCCAGAAAGGATCGCTTTTCCTATGCCTCCAAATGATACAGCCACCCCGTGTTTCTTCGTTGCATTTCATTTTTGCTTGATGAAACTGATTGGGAGTCGTTTTTTAGGTTACCACGAAAGGAGTGCGGCTGTTGAACTTCGAGAAAAGAATGGAAATTCTTCCAAAAAAGAAAGAGTATGCGCGAGGTTGTCACATAACCAGGCGTGCTCGGAAGTTCAAGTGCTTCTTTAAAAGTCAATCGCTCACTGGATAGCGCTTGGTATTTACTGAGACTACTTCCAAAATCGATGGAAATGAAAAAAGATGGTGAATTTCGAGAAACGAAAATGTCTGAGACAGTTGGGTTTGAAGGCATTAAAACATCGACGAGCTATTGCTGAACTCGTGTTCTGTTTTCGACTTTTACGGATGGAAATTAGGCTACCTGCTAGTAAGTATTGGGTTTTTAGGCCTGGAAGTGAAAGGACAGGTGGTTTTAACCTGCATTATGCTACCATCAAAAGAAGTATCGGTCTCAATTGCATAATTTTGTTCTATACCGTGGGGCAAGATGGCTGCAACATTTGCCAACTGAAGTACAAGCGGCAAAAGATGGTCGAAGTTTCAGAGTGAAATTGGAAAGGTGGACCTGTTGCAGTTGTTGAGTTTATAAGATTCTTGTTAGCTTCTCTAATGCTGTCAGTATTTTAGTGCACGAATCTTACAATCTCGTTGAGTTGCAGCTGCCCTTACAGCCGGTTGCGTTTCTTGAGGACTAGTGTGTCTCCATTTGTGGTTGTGAAAGGCGGATCGACGAGCGTTGGCCGTAACCCACAGGATGATTGAGTGGCGACTTCTTTCTGAGCTGACTGCGATTTTTCCTTTTATGGTTAGCGGGGCTGAGATATTGTCAAGAGTGATAATTTGGACTGATCTCGCGGCTAGTTTGTCTTCATTAACTTTGATTTTTGGGGTCCTTATGCCAAGTGGTTCTCGTTGCATCCCATAACAGCTATATTTCAGGAGTGCAGTTTTCCCCTTGTCGTGGCTCGGTCCTCATTGCTTGCCCTTCCCTTGAATAGTACGGCAGGGATATCAGCAGCCTCTTGGATTATATGCAGGTTGTGTGGAGTGCTCGGGTGTGTCTCAAGTGGTACGATTGGAAATTTTAGCACCTAATTAGTGCTGCGTCGCGACGAGGTGCGAAGTGACCTCAAATTTTGGCACCTAATTAGTGCTGCCTCGCGACTAGGCGCCAGCTACCTGTGGGCGAGACGCGCCGTACATGTCCATAACGGTGCAAAAGATTGGCGATTTCGGAAGGGAAAAAGGTGATTTCAGATAAAATGTGATTATTCATTCATTCATTATTACTACTTTTCAATCTTCTAACTTCTGTGAACAAATCAAAGTAAAATTAATCCATGAACAACTCTCTATTAATCTCGGCATGATAGTATGGTATTAGTTGCTTGGGTCATCCTGAGGGTCCATCAAATGCAAAAATCTGACCCTTCAAATTCAAATCTAACCTTGGGGGGTCCCTTTAAGCCATATGACCCGACCCTGAAGGTGCGAAACACGTATAAAAGCAACCCCGCACGGTCTTTAAGCAAAGGGTGCCTTCCAGCTCTCGGCTTTTGTAAAGGTTAGCGGGTTTTGTCATCGTTCATGGCTTCTATCCCTTAGTTCTTCTTCTTGTAATCTGAAATGACGGTTGGATGAATTGTTTCAAGAATATGCTTCGATTTGCAGGCTCCGAAGAAGGCGAGTGCGCCGAAACGTAAGCCGAAATAAAGTTCTATATCAATCTCGGAAGCTCAAACAGAAGCAACTAATACTAAAGTAAAATTGATGTTCATATTTATTACCAGTTTGGCTGTGCACGCATTCGCGTGTATCACACGGGATTGCAGTAGTATTAGAACAGGGCCCACCCCACACAACCTTCCGACCTCTCTTTCGTTTTCGTACTTTTTCTACCTTTTATCCGGTCTCCGGGACGTCTTGGGACAAAGTCATAATGTTTTGTCGACAACCCCACCCACATTGGCGCATGTTCAAATTCCGTCCACATTGTTGCACGCCCCACCCACCTATAGTTGTTGAACTCCCCTTCCTTGCCAGACATTAGCAACTTTTTTCCCGGTTTCCAGGACATCCTGGAACCGAGTTGAATGCGATGTGGCCTATACAATGACTTGCGGGGGCCAGCCGATGTACAAGTCAGTGTTTTTATCCTCCCAGACAAGTCTGGTACCAATTAACCGACCCCGGAGGGATGGAAGGCTTGGTTGGCCCGGGCGACTCACGACCCAGGATTTGATCCCCGGACCGCTCGCGTGGTAAGCGTGCCACTTGCCACTACACCACTTCCGCCCTAATAGTAATAGTAATAAATATGAACGTCAATTTTAATATGATTTTCACAGGAGTAAGAAGATTGAAGAGTTGTAATAATGAATGAATAATCATATCTGGAATCACCTTTTTATTTATTTATTTATTTATTTATTTATTTATTTATTTATTTATTTATTCTATACGCTCGAAGGCGTGCCACAATCAGTACGAGAGTCAAGAATATATGCTGAAGGCGAGGAGGTACAAAAAAAACAAAAGAGAAGAAACCAGAAAACACTGATATGGAAATACTGAATAGATTAAAGCAAAAAAAAACGCAAAACGCAACTGAACAGAGAAGAAGTTCTTAGAAAGAAAGAAAGATGAGCCTATGCCAAGCAGTTCATCTTGCTAGCAAGCGAAATGATGGCCATAGAAAATGGAAATACCAGGCCAGGCCACCGTACTGACAATAGCTCATATTTCGAACTGTGGTACGAAGAGCAGCAGCATAGCGCTCAAATCTCATGCATTCACGGTGCAAACGAGGATTTGTGTGCACTGACCACATCTAGACCAGCAGGTGCTGTGACACAGACCTGCATTCGTCGGCTAGAATGCCCACTCGCCACCTGTGGGGTCATAGGGGCTTGCCGAAACTTCGAAACACGGGTATACCGACCACCCTCGTGGAATCGGCAAGCTAGGTAAGCGCCCAGATACCTACCGGTAGATGTGCACAGTCCGCGCAAATTGTACATGATCCCGAAGGCTGCTGATTTCCATGCCATACCATTCAAGTGGAGAGTGAACAACATGGGACAACATTATTTACTATTGTGATTGACCTGTAAATAAATAAATAAAGAAATAAATAAATAAAATAAATAAATAAAACATTAGGAAGGGAAAGCTACAATCCTGGAGTCCAGATAATATTGTATTATACATTATATATTATAACAATACATAATACAATGTATTGTTGGCGATGAATATCACTTGGCATAAGGTCACCATGATGCGAAATCAGTGGGAAGACAACCGCTGGAGAGGTCATTCCATATTACCACTTATGACAACCGTTAATATAAGCAGAAATCGCAGCCAACTGAGGAAGAAGAAGCCATCCAACCACCGCCTGTGAGTTACGGTCACCACTCGCCGCATCGCTTTCACAACCACATACAGGGATAACATCAATGCTCAGCAACCACAACCGGCTGTAAGGACAGCTGCACCTCAACGAGATTGAAAGATACGTGCACTAAAATATTGACAGCATTAGAAAGCTAACAAGAATCCTCCATACTCAATAACTGCAACAGGTTCACTTTTTCCAACTTCATTCTGAAACTTCGACCATTTTCTGCCGCTAGTATAATACTTCGGTTGGCAGGCGTTGCAACCATCTTGCTCCACGATATAGAACAAAATTATGTAATTGAGAACTATTCACCCTTTTGATGTTGGCATAATGCAAATTGAAACCACCTGTCCTATCACTTCCTGGTCTAAAAACCCAATACTTACTAGCAGGTAGCCTAAGTTCCATCGCAAAAGTCGAAAACAGAACACAAGGTCAGCAATGACTCGTCGATGTTTTAATGTTTTCAAGCCCAAGTGCTTCAGACGTTCTCTGTAACTGGGTAGCGTATTCCAAGACATACGTTGATATACTCGGTGGAAAAGTAATCTTGTGAAGGTTTGCTGCACCTTTTCTAGTCTGAGAATATGCTTCTTGAGGGTTGGATTCCAAATCTGTGAGCAGTATTCTAAATGTGGCAGCACGTATGTATTGTAGAGACGTAGCAGAATTCTGACATCTTTAATTTGAGTGCTGCGGAAAAGAGAGAAAAGCGCAGCATAAGCCTTGTTCACAACTTGGCCAATGTGGTCTGAAAACGTTCGCCTTGAATCAATAAGGATGCCAAGATTCTTAGCTACTTCGCACCTCTTTAAGGTACATCGCCAATTTTGTAGCCCCCAGAAGGGTGGCACCCAAGTGCAGGACGAAGGTCTTCGCTGGGTTGATATCAAGGTTCCGATCTAAGGCCCAGCAACTCAAGTTATCGAGAGAACGTCTGAGTGCAGTCTGGACAACGCCACTGTTGGCAGTATTGTATATTCCGTATATTTTTATATCGTCAGCAAATTGCAAAAGCAAATAAAGCTGAATTCTGATGTCCTGCGATTTTTTGAGAATAGGGGCTAAGGTAAGTCCCTGGTGTAGATAAGAAAAAGTAAGGGAGAGAGTACTCCACCCTGAGGCACCCCGCTTGTGCAGCGACGCCGGCTAGAGAACTCTCTCCCCACCCTCACTGTCATATGCCTGTCAGATAAATA